CGGGGGTGGGGGGGCCTATATACAGGTGAGCGACCTCAGGGCCATCATGGCCCTCTTGTTCTTTTCAAACATCAGTTCACAGGAAGCCTAAATATGAATTATACAGTTTATTATTTTTGATGTGGAAAATATTCCCACGTTGACCTTATTATTGTAATTGATGATAAGAAAGTATGTCTTAATTATAGGTATTAATTACAAAAAAGGATGTCTTAATTATAGGTATTGATTACAAGAAAGTATGTCTGAATTATAGGTATTGATGATAAGAAAGTCTGTCCTAATTATAGGTATTGATGATAAGACAGTCAGTCCTAATTATAGGTATTGATGATAAGAAAGTATGTCCTAATTATAGGTATTGATGATAAGAAAGTATGTCCTAATTATAGGTATTGATGATAAGAAAGTATGTCCTAATTATAGGTATTGATGATAAGAAAGTATGTCCTAATTATAGGTATTGATGATAAGAAAGTCAGTCCTAATTATAGGTATTGATGATAAGACAGTCAGTCCTAATTATAGGTATTGATGATAAGACAGTCAGTCCTAATTATAGGTATTGATGATAAGAAAGTATGTCCTAATTATAGGTATTGATGATAAGAAAGTATGTCCTAATTATAGGTATTGATGATAAGAAAGTATGTCTTAATTATAGGTATTGATGATAAGAAAGTATGTCTTAATTATAGGTATTAATTACAAAAAAGTATGTCTTAATTATAGGTATTGATGATAAGAAAGTATGTCCTAATTATAGGTAGTGATTATTATAAAGACAGTCCATCTAAATCAAAGGTATCATTTATAATACAGCCTGTGTTAGAATTGTACAACTTTCATGACAGGAAAAGAATGTTTCCGTATACAAAACATATGAATATTAAATATATGTATTTAGAGAGGCTTATTTTGTATGATAAATTATTTTCAGAATTATGGATGAATGAACTGGTAAATTTGTGCATAATATTAATTTAGTTTTCCTAATTGTTTACTAACACTTTATAACAATGTGTGCTTTTTGAATTTTAATAGTTACAGGGTTACTCTGAACACCTCTTTCTCTACACTTCCTGTGTTTCTATTTTTAGTTCAGTAATTGAGAGACAATGACCTGGTTTTTTATTAAATACTAAAAAACACCCTTTTGACATGCAAAGCTTGTGGGTTTTACACTCACTTTCCTCCGGAAAAACATGGTTGACTCTATTCCTCGTGGGAGTGATTCACCATTTAAATAGGGGATATAACTCTGGAACCATTTAACAGATAAGGGAGATTATCAGGTTGCACCATTTTATTTCAGGGAACATTTTATTGTTTTATACAATAGAGATAAGTCTCTTAATCACTATTTTACCCTTTAAAGTTAATGTTGGATTGGGTTAGTTGACCCTTACTTTTAAGTTAATGTTGGATTGGGTTAGTTGTCCCTTACTTTTAAGTTAATGTTGGATTGGGTTAGTTGTCCCTTACTTTTAAGTTAATGTGGGATTGGGTTAGTTGTCCCTTACTTTTAAGTTAATGTTGGATTGGGTTAGTTGTCCCTTACTTTTAAGTTAATGTTGGATTGGGTTAGTTGTCCCTTACTTTTAAGTTAATGTGGGATTGGGTTAGTTGACCCTTACTTTTAAGTTAATGTCTCTTACTTTTAAGTTAATGTGGGGTTGGGTAAGTTGTCCCTTACTTTTAAGTTAATGTTGGATTGGGTTAGCTGACCATTACTTTTAATTTTATGTTGGATTGGGTTAGTTGACCCTTACTTTTAAGTTAATGTTGAATTGGGGGATATGAGCCTTACTTTTAAGTTAATGTTGGATTGGATTAGTTGTCCCTTACTTTTAAGTTAATGTTGGATTGGGTTAGTTGTCCCTTACTTTTAAGTTAATGTTGGATTGGGTTAGTTGACCCTTACTTTTAAGTTAATGTTGGATTGGGTTAGTTGTCCCTTACTTTTAAGTTAATGTTGGATTGGGTTAGTTGACCCTTACTTTTAAGTTAATGTTGGATTGGGTTAGTTGTCCCTTACTTTTAAGTTAATGTTCTTACTTTTAAGTTAATGTTGGTTTGGGCTAGTTGTCCCTTACTTTTAAGTTAATGTTGGATTGGGTTAGTTGTCCCTTACTTTTAAGTTAATGTGGGATTGGGTTAGTTGTCCCTTACTTTTAAGTTAATGTGGGATTGGTTTAGTTGTCCCTTACTTCTAAGTTAATGTTGGATTGGGTTAGTTGTCCCTTACTTTTAAGTTAATGTTGGATTGGGTTAGTTGTCCCTTACTTTTAAGTTAATGTGGGTTTGGTTTAGTTGACCCTTACTTTTAAGTTAATATCCATTACTTTAAATTTAATGTGGGATTGGTTTAGTTGACCCTTACTTTTAAGTTAATGTCCCTTACTTTAAAGTTAATGTTCGATTGGGTTAGTTGACCCTTACTTTTAAGTAAATGTCCCTTACTTTCAGTTAATGCTGGATTGGGTAAGTTGTCCCTTACTTTTAAGTTAATGTTGGATTGGGTTAGTAGACCCTTACTTTTAAGTTAATGTTCTTACTTTTAGGTTAATGTGGGATTGGGTTAGTTGTCCCTTACTTTTAAGTTAATGTGGGTTTGGTTTAGTTGACCCTTACTTTTAAGTTAATGTCCCTTACTTTTAAGTTAATGTGGGATTGGGTTAGTTGTCCCTTACTTTTAAGTTAATGTGGGATTGGTTTAGTTGACCCTTACTTTTAAGTTAATGTTGGATTGGGTTAGTTGACCCTTACTTTTAAGTTAATGTGGGATTGGGTTAGTTGACCCTTACTTTTAAGTTAATGTCCCTTACTTTTAAGTTAATGTGGGATTGGGTTAGTTGTCCCTTACTTTTAAGTTAATGTGGGATTGGTTTAGTTGACCCTTACTTTTAAGTTAATGTCTCTTACTTTTAAGTTAATGTGGGATTGGGTAAGTTGTCCCTTACTTTAAAGTTAATGTTGGGATTGGGTTAGTTGTCCCTTACTTTTAAGTTTATATTGAATTGGGGGATTTGACCCTTACTTTTTAAGTTAATTTCAAATAGAGTGACATGACTCTTCATTTTATAATAAGTAAATGATGAATGAGAGGGTTCATGTTACATCAGGGGATGGTGATGTATATAAGAAAAGTTAAGTGGGAGTATAAAGTGAGTGGGGGTGCTTATTAAAAATAATAACACTTGTGTGACAAACACTTCATTTTTCTTCTAGTGCACTTATTGTATATTCTCTAATAAAAGCACCTCATCTAATAAAAACCTCTGTTATTCTTGACAAAAAAAAAAGGAACTATAGGTACCAATACAATAGGTTATTGTAAATCTAAGAAAATTAGCTGAATTTAAGCATAGCTTGTGCATGCAGTATATAATTCAGCGGACATTATTTTAATATAATCTTTCTTTTTATTTGGATGAGTTTTAAGATGTTTTTGTACTTTGATTAACATCCCCCTTTTTAGAACAACACAATGCCCTTTTATTAGAGAATATGTGGTACACTAATTGACACTGTGTCATTTTAAAATTAAATTCTCATTCAATTTGTTGTATACAGTAGTTAAACATATAATGTAACCTGTTTTTCTTCTAATATTGTTACATTTACAGCTTTTATAACAATAAATATGAGTGTAGAAAACAATATTTTCTGTTTTATATTTGAGTGAAGTCATACATGCCATACTTTTTTGGGGACTCCTCCGGGACAGATATTTTATTTTCGGGACAATCCTGGACGTCCAGGACATTATGGCATTGTGGTGAAATTATTGAATTATCTTGCAGATGTATGATCTTTTATAAAGCTAAGATATGAGAACAAAATTTTATTAAAGGGTCTTTATGAAACACCTTGATATACTAGGACTAATGTGTTTATTGATTTTCACTCAAAATGGGCTGTGTGTGACTGAAAAATAGGATTTTCAATGTACATTTATGTGTATTTATGAGTATATTTCTTATCCTTTGCATATTTTTTAGTTTTAAATTCCCCAGGCTGATCTATGTTGGAACTTAAAAATTTATCTTTTAGGCTTTTGGACCTCAGTGGAGTTCCTTTAAGATTTAACCTGTTAAAATTATATGTATAATTGATTTATGATCCCTGTTTTGAATTTTGGATACACTCTTTGAATTGAGTGATCCAACAGTAATAGCCTGGCTAGATACTTTGGACATTTAAAGCATACATATTCAAGAAATATGCTTGAAACTGTTTAAAAAAGAATAAAATTTATTTATTTTAAATTGGGGCATATTATGTTATACCCCCTGGGGTCCGTCCGTTAGCAATATGGTTTCCGAAGCATAACTTAAGTTCCATTTGGCCCTCAATATTCAAACTTCATAGGATGATTGTCCATATTGGATAGAAGACCCCTAGTGATTTTGGGGTCACAAGGTCAAGGTCACTATTACCTTAAAACTGAAAACAGTTTCCGGAAGATAACTTAAGTTCAATTTGGCCCACAGTGTTCAAACTTCATAGGATGATTGTCCATATTTGGTAGAACCCCCCTATTGATTTTGGGGTCACAAGGTCAAAGGTCAAGGTCACTATTACCTTAAAACTGAAAACAGTTTTCGGACCATAACTTACGTTCCACAGTGTTTAAACTTCATAGGATGATTGTCCATTTTGGGTAGAACACCCCTATTGATTTTGGGGTCACAAGGTCAAAGATCAAGGTCACTTTTACCTTAAAACTGAAAACAGTTTCTGGAGCATAACTTAAGTTCCATTTGGCCCTTAATATTCAAACTTCATAGGAGGATTGCTATTTGAAGGAGGTAATACTTTATTTTATTCCCATGTCTTACAAACGCTTCATCCTTACTTAAAAAAAAATCACTTTCTGGCATATAACGCTCCGCTAAGCAGTGCTCTTGTTTTAGCTTTCTGAGTTTTTATATTGACGTGAGCGATTTCAGGGCTATTTTTGCCCTCTTGTTCATTGAATTTTTGTATATTTACAGCATTGTATCACAGCTGCCCGCAGCCAATTCCCCTTGCCAGAGTAGAAGAGAGCTTCCTGTAGACATTATATATATTGATATTGTTGGCCTGAAACAGTTCAAGAAATACGTGAAAAATGGATATGGCAAATTCAGGTATTTTATGGAGGTGTACATGTATTACGTTTTACCAAGCTTAATCTTAAAGCAGCATGCACGCCTCCAGATGAACCAAAATATTTCAAGAAAATCAAACTTGAGAGGAAAAAAAGGACTGAGATTTTTAGAAATGTAAAATTAAAAGATTCAAGATAAAAGTTATAATTTCCATGTTATGTGCGATTTATGACCGATTTTGCAGTATTTTTCACCATATTTTTTTTCTACTGTGTTACTATAGCAGAAAGGGCTATCTTTGCATATTTTGACATCTTTTTGGTAAATTACATGCCTTAATTGTACATGTGCCATTTGCAATGGGAAAAATACTTTCTTTGTTCACTTCACAATATTTTACTTTTTAATACATTGTCAAAATTGGCATGAAAATTAGCATGAATATGGAGGCATGCTGCTTTAAAAAGACTTGTCAGTTTAAGACAATTTAAGACATTTTGCTTGAGGATATTAGCGAATCTTGCAAGTGTAGAATTTAATGACAAGTTGCTTGATATTTACGCTAGAGGAAATTTAAGCGATTTTCGTCAATTCATGAAAAAATCACCAATATTTCCACATCGCTAACTTAACCACTTCTATAGTAACACAGAAAAAGCGGGATATAGGAGGTGCAAAACGACCAACACCAGGGTAGGTTTAACTGCTTTTAATGATGGTCAACCGGTTTCGGTCTCACTATAGACCTTCTTCAGGACACATTTACATTGAAAATTAATAGCTAAAGTACACAAACTTCTATAGTAGTTTGATGATGTTTTATTGATGTATTTTCAGTTGCCTTCTAAGAATATTGGACTCATTCGGTACAGAGCCGGCATTTAACTTAAGATCATTTGCCAAACAACGTAAGAAATTGACGTCTTGGGGTGGGCAGGATTTAATGCCACAGCAGTTTTTTAACATGTTCCGTAAGTTTTGTATTTTCTTCTTTTTTTAGGTCCCAAAAATTAAAAAAAAAAAACATGTTTATCTGAAAGAATGATTGGTTTAAACTTCATGTAAATTTTTTTTAGTGGACTTGTCCATTTATCAAACTGGTAAAAAGCACTATTTTTAAGAAAATTATTTAAAATATAAAATGACTAAATAGCGGAAACAGTTCAGACTATGATCAGACTATGATCTTTCCGAGTCAGCAGATAGTGGGTCTGCAATGGTAGTATGTTTAGAAACTGTTGCCGCCAAAGGCTAAGGGTAAGGCAATCAAAGATAAGATGTGTCTTAGCCACACTATCAGGGGCGTTATGTCCATAGTCAATTGGTTAAGGTTGTCAACTTTGAACCACTTGCCCTTACAACTTTAGGTTTGTGTCCCACAAGGAACTATAGATTCTTTCATGTGAGGAACCTATCCAGCTAGCTTATGGACTGGTAATGTTTCTACTCAGGTTCCCTTCATTCCTGAAATGATGAAAAGAGGAACACTTAAGGTCTTTCTCCACCATTAAAGCTGGAAAGTCGCCATATGACCTTTTAAGTGTTGGTGCAACATAAAACCTAACCAAAAAAAAGCTGTTTTTATTTTACGAAAGTTGTGATGGAATTTTTAATTTTGCTTTTTTTTCATCGATAACTATTTATCATTATTTAAGAATGTAAAATTTGTTACAATTTGTCTTGATATTTGCTCTGCCTTGCCAAACAATGTTCATTTTGGTTTTAAATTTTATTTCTTTACAGCACACAGTCCAGATAATTCATTCATGGGTTTTGTAGTGGAAAGACATTTAAACGAGTCAGATGTCCGTGACATTGAGAGAAGTAACATGGCCGTAGTTTACGGTAAAAATGACTATATGTGGCAGGTAAGATATTGTGTTGCATTATGGTTGTTTGTTCTTGATATAATGTAACATATCTTCCCAGATGTGTTGATATGGTTCTGTCCATCTGTCTGTTTGTCTGCAAGTTTATATCTAAAGAATTCATTACAGGAATATAAACTTTCAGAAAAAGAATTCATCATTGTGGATTTATATTTGATAAATGAGAGTGTGTTTAAGCTCAATTTAGGTCATTTATATGTAATATTTTGAAGTTACCTTCTCTTTACAAACAAAATATGCTTATAGTATAATTTATATGTAATATTTTGAAGTTACCTTCTCTTTACAAACAAAATATGCTTATAGTATAATTATGGCAAAAAATCGGGACCCGAAAAAAGTGGCCGTAATATTGATTTGCACACAATTTAGGGTTGGTCGTAAAGCAAGACTTTACTGTAGCCCATCTTTGTGGCATTTTATGTTAATTTATGAAAATTTAAGGACATATACTTAACCAAAGAGTATTTGAACATGGAAAACAAGACATGGTACAGTTTACTAAGAGAATAAATCAGCTAAATCAATGAATTAATCAATTGAATCAATTAATAAATCGATTAATCAATTAATAATTCAATTAAAAACCATTATTGCAGGATAAAAAAGAATATTTGAACATGGTAAACAAGTCTGGTATAGTTATACATGGGACAGTTTACAAGGAGAATAAATCTGCCAAGTTAGAGCACATTCCAAATTATGTTATAAACCATGGGATCTTGAATGGCGAAGATCTTCATACGTTGTTGAGAAAATCTAAAGTAAGTGACAGTGAATATCTGTTATATATTATATAGTTTGCTTAATTAACTCTGTCATTGAATGGCGAAGATCTTCATACGTTGTTGAGAAAATCTAAAGTAAGTGACAGTGAATATCTGTTATATATTATATAGTTTGCTTAATTAACTCTGTCATTGAATGGCGAAGATCTTCACACGTTGTTGAGAAAATCTAAAGTAAGTGACAGTGAATATCTGTTATATATTATATAGTTTGCTTAATTAACTCTGTCATTGAATGGTAAAGGACCCAGAAACGGATACAAGAGTGTTTCAATAAGCTTAGAGCTTCCAACATCAATGAAACTATGATATATTAGTATAAACTAAAGTAATATATTAATTCAACAGAACTCAAATTAGAAATTTGCTTACATTTAATCCCACCTGTTATTCTGTAATGCTGATTTTGCCAAATTTTAGCCTTGCGAAAGTATCTGACTTTACAGTTAGTAAAAAAGAAAATCACACCTGTATCCTCTAACATTGATTATTTCAGATATTTTTGGGACTTGGATTTCCCTATGAAGGGCCGGCCCCTTTAGAAGCTATAGCGAATGGTGCAGTTTACATTAATCCAAAGTTTGCCAAACCTCACAATAGAAATACAGTGCCATTTTTTAAAGGAAAACCAACAGAGAGAGAGGTAATCAATGTTTATTGACATCTTAAATCTATTTATTTGATGTGGCACAATGGCTATGGTCCTGTAACGATTTACGACCCTGCTGGTTTGAATCTCGTAAAGGGCTCTGGATTATTTTATGTCTGAAAGTTATCTGTGCATGTTACAGATGAGTGGTTCTACTCTGGTGCCTACTTATACCGCACATATAATGCACCAGTGGTCCTCTTGAGGTATTTCTCAAACAGTAAGTCTGAAAAGTTACCATATGACCTTATAACAGTGTTACTAATTTTAATTCTATCTTAAATAAAGATATATCCATGTTTTAATAACTTCAGCTGCTTGTTATTTTACCAGTTATGGTGTCAAGTCTTCATAATGGCCAAAATGTTTTGGTTTTTTTTTATAGCCAACATTTAACATTTTGTCTCTTAGAGCTGTTGATTTAAAGCTTGTCAAGATAATTGAACTTCTTCATGCAAGGAAACTATCCAGCTTTCATACAGTGTATATAGTGAAAAGGTTGATGGTTTTACTCCATTGCCTGTTTGTGCTTTATAATCATAATGATGGCTTAAACAAATGCAGTTCCTCTTGATTAGAGTAATTACTGCAGAAAATCAGTGTGCAGGTGACACATGCTTCTTTAGACAAGTGCCCATAGGCATATAGAGGATCAGAATTTAGGTCAAAGGTTAAGGTCAAACTGTAAGGTCAAACTGTAAGTTAAAGATAATATTGACACTATTACTGTAATTTTGCCTAAAAAATATGGATGAGTTATTTGTCAACAGTTTACAGTTGTTGAAAAGGTCTGAGATCCTACATTACAATGTATGCCCCATATAGTGTGGATAACATCAACATCAACATCAACATTTTATTTTGTAAATAAAGGCCTCCGGCCCAAAATACACAATATAATCAAAACAGAAATACATATTTAGCTGTGTCTACAATATACATTGTTATATATGACATGCTTTCCTATTGATATTAATTATCAACAATTTTCATAATTTCATGAACAAAAAAAGCAATATTCTTTATGTTTTCTTCATTTTTAGTTTTAATCAAATTACAAAAAATTATGGAATGTATAATCATGACTGTACCATGGAGATATATAACGTTGTCTGTGTTGGGAAAATCTATTACAAATAAAAAATACATGAAATTCATCTTCGATGAACGAATTGTTATAATTTTGCAAACAGTGTTGGCAAATTCGCTCATATCTAGGTATACCCAAATGTCGTCCAGTTTCTATATATAATTTATGACTAGAACATCTAAATCTCGATAATGATCTTTTTACATAAAATGGCATATCAATAGATAAATACTTTTCAGGATTTAACATAGATTTGAAAAATTTATAGGTGTCACATCGGGGTGAATTTTGAATTTCTTCCATCCAATTTTGTGTCTTACAATCAATAATTCTTTGTTTAAATTGACAAATAAATAGATTGATATCCCCAATTTCTTGACTTAGCCATACAAAGCCAAACCCATAAGTATAAAATAAGTTTTTTACTGAAGTAGCCCAATTTTTCTTTCCAACATTATCTTGTCGAGTTAACATCAAATAACAATTTCTAGGATATCTGTGTTCTGGCATACAAAGAAGTTTACACCAATATTTGATAATTTTTACATGATGATCAATACATAAAGGCATCCTTCCACATTCTCCCAATGAAACATTATCATTAACAGAATAATTTACACCTAGAAAATCTTTACAATATTGTATTTGAACTTGTTCAAGAATTTCGGAGATTTCACTTCCATAAATTTCGGCACCATAGGTAAGTATAGGTTTTACCATAGAGTCAAATAATTTAAAATAATCAGAGTGTAAAAACTTTCCAAAATTTCTTTGATATGATTTAATAGCATAAATAGATTTCCTAGCTTGTGCAGCAAGTTTAGTTTTTGCTTTTGTCCAAGATAATTTAGGTGTAAATAAAAGACCCATATATTTGTACATTGGTGTGACATTTACTGAACTGCCGTTGTAAAACCATTTTTCATATGATCTGAGCGGTCCACCATTTCTAAATACAATAATTTCAGTTTTATTCTCATTTATAGACATACCGGTATTATTACAAAAATCTGAAATTGAATTTAATTGAGACTGAAGTTCGATCGCAGTATCGGCGCAATTTGCAACATCATCAGCGAAAAGAATGCATATAATATCGGGAATTTGATCCGTAATGAATATACCGCGATGTCCCTTATTACGCAGAAAGGGAGATAACTCATTTATATACAGGTTAAACATAATCGTACTTGTTACGTCCCCTTGTCTTGTACCTATGTTACATTTAAAATAGTCTGTAGTTTTGGTTGTACTAACTTGTACACATCCACGCAGTTTTGAGTACATTGATAAAAGAACACGAAATAAATTCCCCCTAACGCCACATCTGTTTATAGTATTGAATAAATTAAAATGTTTAAGTCCATCAAATGCTTTTTTAAAATCTACATAAAGAACATAAAATCGTCCGCCCGGTTTACTAATATATTTCTGTACCATACTTTGTAATATAAAAATATTATCAATTGTAGAGTAACCGGCTCGAAATCCGGCTTGGTATTCATCTATTTTATCAAATTTCTCAGCCCAATTATATAACCTATCATATATAATATTAGAAAATATTTTATACATAACATTGATTAAGGAAATTCCTCTATAATTAGAAGGGTCATCCTGAGGCCCCGACTTGTACACAGGTACTATAATACTATCCCTCCAAATGTCTGGGAAAACCCCAGTACTAAATATCTTATTAAACAATTTACAAAGGACAGGTGCGATTAATGACGAAGTATTTTTATAGAATTCTGCTCCGATGCCATCACTTCCCTGTGATTTTCCACATTTCAATTTGTTTATACTTTTGATGACTTCATCGGAGGAAATTTCAGAATTTAAATACAGATTTTCCTCATCAGTATTAACTCTAAAGTCCCAATTACTTTCATATATATTAGCTGGTTACTTTTAAATAGTAACTCATGAAAATAATCAAACCAAGCTCCCGTATCTATCAATGAAGATTGTTTTTCTAGATTTTAACAGTTTCCAAAAGGCTTTGGGATTTGATCGTAACGTAATTAGTTGATCGCGCTTAGACTTTTGGTAAAGATACTTTTTTATATAACAAGTTTTTTGAAAACGTTTTCGGAGCGCTACAAATTGTTGAAAGTCTAATGTGTTATTAGTCCAGCGAAAACGTCGTAGAGCTGCGTATTTAAGCTGCTTAGTTGTTTCACATTCTCGGTCCCACCAGGGTTGATTATTATTCACACTATTTCGCGCTAAATATCTAACGCGCATATTTGCTGATGATTTTTTATAAATATTAATGATATGATTAACTGCATTGTTAACACTTAGATCTATTTCATTAAGTAAATTATCTCGTATAGAATTATACTCCGCGGTAAATAATTGTAAGAAATCCGCCATATACCTATCATTCCATCTATATTTGTCGACATGTACTTCATTAAAGGTTTCATTTTTCTTATTATATCTAACAAATGGTTGCCCTCGCTCTAAAGTCAATCTTGCACAAATTGGTAAATGATCTGATTCGTGACGCTCTTCAACGTTAAAATAACTTATATGAGAAAAAAATATCAGACGAGACAATGTGATAGTCAACAACACTTGCTCCATTGTAAGTTAAACAAGTAAAATTACCTGCAACATCATTGTACAAACGACCATTTAAAATATGGATACTATGAATACAACATAATTCTACAAGAGACTTCCCAAATAAATTATATCTCTCAATATCTTTGTTATTTCTAGAAATTTCGAAATAGTCTGAATCATAATCAACTTCTGTATTAAATATAACATCTAAATTATCATGTGGAATATAATCTAACAAATCCTTCGTACGTGCATTGAAATCGCCACCTAAGTATAGATATACATTTGGATACATATTATTTAATATTTCAATATTACTTTGATGGTTTTAATTCCATTTTTCTTCCGACCTTTTGTCATAAATATTTGACCCTTCAGGAGAAACATAAACAATGTATAAAATAATATCTTGCATGGATCTATACAAAGCACTTTTAATATAAAAAAACTAAACAATCTTTAAAGTCAGTGCATATACGTGAAAATAAAATTGTTTTTTATCAGGTGCGATTTAATATACACGGAAACACCACCACTGTTACGTAAAGAGCCAGAAGATTTTAAACGTATGTTATCAAAACACGTATAACCATTCAAAATATTTGCAAATTCATTTTCAACATCATTCCAAGTTTCTATCAAACCAATAATGTCAAACCTTTGTAAATAATTTAAGAAATTGTAGTCATGTACATGTTTCTTTAAACCGCAAATGTTCCACGTGACAATGTTTATATTTACACTTGGGCCTTGACCTGTTTCCTAGTCTCCGCCTAAAACCTCACTTTCGATTCCTCCTTCGTTTCCTGATTGGTCGCCATCGCTAACAAATGTATCATGTGACACTGTTTCCCGCCTAAAATTTCGATCACGTGGTCCTGTAACACGTTCGCCTCTCACTCGTGTAGATCCGATTCTGGTAATCTGATTGGTTAGATCGTCATATTTGTAAACACTATCGTCAACAATAAGTTTATCATAGCGTAGTGACGCGTATTGTCCACTATTTCTAGCCTGTACTAGTTTTTGACCTAATTCACGCCTTTGTAACTGAACACGTTCTGTGAAATCTTCCCTTACTGAAAAAGGAGACCCTCTATTCAAAACTTGTCTCGCTTTTTGGATAATATTTTCGCGATCCTTAAAGTTGGCGAATTTAGCTACAATCGGGCATGTTTCTGTTAACCTACTGCCAACACGATGGGCTCTTTCGATATGCACAGTTTCCATTTCTGGTAGACCCAAGTCATTTTTGATAAATTCCCGAACCTTTACCTCGGTGTCCTCCCATTTTTCACCTAGTTTGCCATGTATTCCATGGAATCTAAGATTATTTCGACGGGATTGTCCTTCTAAATTGTCAACTTTTATAAATAGTTTCTGCATTTGTTTTTTCAAATCTTGATTTTCTTGTCTAAGTGCCTGATTTTCTGATTTTAAAGCATTTACAGCAGAAGTTATATCGTCAATTTTTGAATTAATGGCCGCTAAATCAGTCCGCATTTCATTTTTCATATCTCGAAGAAAAGATAATACCTCACTATCCTGCCCTGCGGTTGCTCTTGTTGTTCGCTTTGCATTTTCCTGGGATGTTGTCGGAATTGTTACCGATCCTGAGGGAGAGCTCGTCACTTCAGCGAAAGAAAGTGTACGCTGTTTCTGTGACCTTGGCGGCCCGGGGTTAGTTTCCACATCTCCACCCAGTAAAGTTAACACAGCGAGAAAAGCTACTAGTCGTAAACAAACACTTACACTACGTTTGCTAATACACACTGTACATAATCTAGTTCGGCACTTGCGTGGCATCATAAATAATCCAATCCTTATTCTATAAGCAACAACGTCTATTCCCATACTTAGTATTTATTGACAATTATTATTCAGCGAGAAAAAACACGTGCAGCCATTACAAGGGACACAACTCTTATATATAGTACACAAAAGGGGGCATTTGTGGTCACTGTTCACCAATACAGTATATAAAGTGACTACATGACAATAACAGCATTGGTTTGACTAAAGAACTAAGCAAAAGTGGGAAAAAATGTTTAAAAAATTTAAGAAAAATATGATTTAATTGCAGTTAACCAGTCAACATCCGTACGCGGAGCAGTTTATAGGTGAACCTTATGTGTACACTATAAACATAAATGATCCAGAGGAGGTTAGAACAACTATACAGAAAATTCTAGATACTGATCATGTAAGTATGATAATATAAATGATCCAGAGGAGGTTAGAACAACTATACAGAAAATTCTAGATACTGATCATGTAAGTATGATAATATAAATGATCCAGAGGAGGTTAGAACAACAATACAGAAAATTCTAGATACTGATCATGTAAGTATGATAATATAAATGATCCGGAGGAGGTTAGAACAACTATACAGAAAATTCTAGATACTGATCATGTAAGTATGATAATATAAATGATTTGGAGGAGGTTAGAACTACTATACAGAAAATTCTAGATACTGATCATGTAAGTATGATAATATAAATGATCCGGAGGAGGTTAGAACAACTATACAGAAAATTCTAGATACTGATCACGTAAGTATGATAATATAAATGATCCGGAGGAGGTTAGAACAACTATACAGAAAATTCTAGATACTGATCACGTAAGTATGATAATATAAATGATCCGGAGGAGGTTAGAACAACTATACAGAAAATTCTAGATACTGATCACGTAAGTATGATAATATAAATGATCCGGAGGAGGTTAGAACAACTATACAGAAAATTCTAGATACTGATCACGTTAGTATGATTATATAAATGATCCGGAGGAGGTTAGAACAACTATACAGAAAATTCTAGATACTGATCACGTAAGTATGATTATATAAATGATCCGGAGGAGGTTAGAACAACAATACAGAAAATTCTAGATACTGATCACGTAAGTATGATTATATAAATGATCCGGAGGAGGTTAGAACAACTATACAGAAAATTCTAGATACTGATCAGGTAAGTATGATAATATAAATGATTTGGAGGAGGTTAGAACAACAATACAAAAAATTCTAGATACTGATCATGTAAGTATGATAATATAAATGATCCAGAGGAGGTTAGAACAACAATACAGAAAATTCTAGATACTGATCATGTAAGTATGATAATATAAATGATCCGGAGGAGGTTAGAACAACTATACAGAAAATTCTAGATACTGATCACGTAAGTATGATAATATAAATGATCCGGAGGAGGTTAGAACAACTATACAGAAAATTCTAGATACTGATCATGTAAGTATGATAATATAAATGATCCGGAGGAGGTTAGAACAACTATACAGAAAATTCTAGATACTGATCATGTAAGTATGATAATATAAATGATTTGGAGGAGGTTAGAACTACTATACAGAAAATTCTAGATACTGATCATGTAAGTATGATAATATAAATGATCCGGAGGAGGTTAGAACAACTATACAGAAAATTCTAGATACTGATCACGTAAGTATGATAATATAAATGATCCGGAGGAGGTTAGAACAACTATACAGAAAATTCTAGATACTGATCACGTAAGTATGATAATATAAATGATCCGGAGGAGGTTAGAACAACAATACAGAAAATTCTAGATACTGATCATGTAAGTATGATAATATAAATGATCCGGAGGAGGTTAGAACAACAATACAGAAAATTCTAGATACTGATCATGTAAGTGATGATTATATAAATGATCCGGAGGAGGTTAGAACAACAATACAGAAAATTCTAGATACTGATCACGTAAGTATGATTATATAAATGATCCGGAGGAGGTTAGAACAACTATACAGAAAATTCTAGATACTGATCAGGTAAGTATGATAATATAAATGATTTGGAGGAGGTTAGAACAACAATACAAAAAATTCTAGATACTGATCACGTAAGTATGATAATATAAATAGATCCGGAGGAGGTTAGAACAACTATACAGAAAATTCTAGATACTGATCACGTAATAATGATTATATAAATGATCCGGAGGAGGTTAGAACAACAATACAGAAAATTCTAGATACTGATCACGTAAGTATGATAATATAAATGATCCGGAGGAGGTTAGAACAACTATACAGAAAATTCTAGATACTGATCACGTAAGTATGATAATATAAATGATCCGGAGGAGGTTAGAACAACAATACAGAAAATTCTAGATACTGATCACGTAAGTATGATAATATAAATGATCCGGAGGAGGTTAGAACAACTATACAGAAAATTCTAGATACTGATCACGTAAGTATGATAATATAAATGATCCGGAGGAGGTTAGAACAACTATACAGAAAATTCTAGATACTGATCATGTAAGTATGATAATATAAATGATCCGGAGGAGGTTAGAACAACTATACAGAAAATTCTAGATACTGATCATGTAAGTATGATAATATAAATGATCCAGAGGAGGTTAGAACAACTATACAGAAAATTCTAGATACTGATCATGTAAGTATGGTAATATAAATGATCCGGAGGAGGTTAGAACAATTCTAGATACTGATCACGTAAGTATGATAATATTAATGATCCGGAGGAGGTTAGAACAACTATACAGAAAATTCTAGATACTGATCATGTAAGTATGATAATATTTTATCATATAAACCAAGGTACAGTAGTGTGATATAGCCATTTTATAAAAACGATATTACACTTGTGAAATAACACTTTCACTTGATGTCATTTGCATTATTTATAAACATAGCATTCAAGCGCGCTAATGTTAGAGTCACACTATAGGCACGTCAATGAAAATTACTCATTTTAACAGTTTACCATTCTTATTTCATATATGTGATAAATAGAATATGATATTTGTGTAGATTCAATACTAATACTTTATTGAACTCATTGAATAAAAGAATATTATGCAAGCCTCTGGTAAGCATAATATGATTTTATTCAACTCGTTTAATAAAAGTATTAAATCTACACTCATTTAATATCCTCTATGTAAAACCGCTTGATTTTTTTGGTCAAGAAATTTTGATTTTTTGTCACCAAGGACATTTTTTGTTGGTTTTTAGATTTGTGGATTGCATATTTTTTGCAAAAAGTAAAATGTAAATAATTTAATGTAATTTATATAATCTTGACAAATTTTGTGAATTCTCTTGATACATAAATAATATAAAGTAAATGCTTGCAAGTTGACAGATTGTGTGAATTCGCTAGATGTATAAATAATGATTACAATCATTTTATACTGAACCAGATAATCTGTTCGAAATCTTTATATCTAAAGCTACCGGTAACTAAACTTAGTATACTCTGCTTTACTTTGTCCACCCACTTAGTTCAGTAAGCGAGAGCATCTGATTTGTAACGTAGGGATGGCTGGTACAATCCTAGGACTTTGTGTAATTTCTCTGTGACCATGGAGCTCTTTTTACTTTCAGTTTAAAGGTTACTTACCATACGAGTATACATATGGATCTCTTTTTACTTTCAGTTTAAAGGTTACTTACCATACGAGTATACATATGGATCTCTTTTTACTTTCAGTTTAAAGGTTACTTACCATACGAGTATACATATGGATCTCTTTTTACTTTCAGTTTAAAGGTTACTTACCATACGAGTATACAGAGGAGGGTTTTATACAGAGAATGAACGCCTACATTGAACACCAGAATTTTTGCCAGTTTCAAAAACAGCTTACAAAATGGCCGCCAGAAAGTGCAGTTCAGATTTTATTTGGCGAGGCGGGAAAATCTTGTAAGGATGTTTGTTGGGAGAAAAGTAAGTGATGTTTTTAAAAATTAACATTTAGGTTGCTGGTAGCAACAGATTTTACCCGTGTGAGTCAGTGTAGCTAACTGTACTAATTACAACAACGCAAAAGAAACACAAGATGGTTCAGCTTTACGGTCATTGAGTAACAAAAATAAAAAGCTTCTGAAAAAAATTAACAATGATTGCATTACTGAGGCTTAACTGGCCTTTAAGCACATTTGTGTGTCTTAAAACCTACATGAAGATGTTGTAATGTTAAAGGCACATAGAGGCACATTATGTCTCTGAAATCCATATTGTTAAAGCGGCCTTCAGTTTTTAGTTTTTTGTTGGAAATACAATTCTGTGTTGTTTCAAACTAGATATTTCAGTAATTTTATCTTGGAAAAAGTGCATCATATCACTGTATATCCTTCTTTAATACAGCTTCTGGGAGCTATTTATAGATGCCAATGATTTTTGTTTCTAAAAAAAAAAGAAGATTGGAAAACGAATCATCTGCTTTACTAATTTACATATAGAGAGCAGACTGATAGATTAGAAGTATTGAGGGGTTTCCTTATTATTTATGTATTCTATCAATGGCAATTTTCATTTTCCTCCATAATTCTTTTGATTTGACAATAATATACCATGCCATGACAATTTTAACCAACATTGTACATTTGCGACCAGCATGGATTCAGACCAGCCTGGGCATCCACTCAATCTGATCGGAATCCATGCTGTTCGCTTATATAGAGAAACTGATAGCGAACAGCATGTATTCTGATCAGACTGAGCAGATGCAAATGCTGGTCTGGATCCATGCTGGGCGCAAACGCACTATGTTGCTTTTGTCATGGTGCGGCTCAAATATTTTAACCTTTTGAAAAACTGAAGCTTTAAAGTATGATTCATTATTTATAACTTTTTATCTTTATTTTACAGATTTAATTTGTGAACCAAGTCATTTCTTAGAAACAAATTCTCATGGTGCTCTTATATCACATGGCGCGTCGTGTGCTGCAAATAAAACTCTTATTGACATTTTCTATCCTGCTTTGGACACTAAGACAAATGACTGCATACTTCAGCAAGAGGAACTACTTTTTAGCTGTGTAGGAAAACAAGTAAATCTCCGAAGACTGTGCCCGTGCCGGAACTACATTAAAGGGCAGACGGCACTTTGTCTCACCTGTGAATCGTAACATAGTTAAAAAAATTGTTGTGAATGTTGTGAAATGTGTTATATGTTAATTTAAAATCAAAATTGTTATTTCAATAGATATATGTTATATACATGTATATTTGTAATGTAAGAGTTTTGTAATTTAATGTGTTTGAAAAATATGTATGTTTTACTTTGCATCCTCCGGAATTAATTTGATGACTTTGAAAATGTGTTTTCTTAAAAAAAGCAGAGCAATGTCAGGGCATATTGAAACATTGGGTTACTTTCTTTCTATGATGTTCTAAATGTGCCAATTCTGATAAATACTTGCCCATGTCCCCAGTATAAAGCCAGGCCAGCCTGAATATATGTACTGTTAACTTGCCCATGTCCCCAGTATAAAGCCAGGCCAGCCTGAATATATGTTCTGTTAACTTGCCCATGTCCCCAGTATAAAGCCAGGCCAGCCTGAATATATGTACTGTTAACTTGCCTATGCCCCCAGTATAAAGTCAGGCCAGCCTGAATATATGTACTGTTAACTTGCCCATGTCCCCAGTATAAAGCCAGGCCAGCCTGAATATATGTACTGTTAACTTGCCCATTCCCCCAGTATAAAGCCTGGTCAGCATTTGTAGTTTTACTCAGTTGGATGCTTTGGTTAATATTTTCTTACCTAAAAATACCAATGAAATGTTCCAAATTTAAAGCAGGTCACATTCATTATCAAAATTTTATGGGTATTTGTTTATCTTGTTTTACAATTGTGCAGCAGAATTTCCTTTTATTATGTTTTCATGCCAGATAAATGTTACAGCATTATTTATTGTAATATCTAATTATACCCCCACCACAAAATGTGGGGGGGGCTATAATGGATTCGCTTTGTCGCGTCGGTCGGTCGGTCAGTCGGTCGGTCGGTCCGTCCGTCTCCATTTTCGTGTCCGCTCTATAACTCCTATACCACTTGAAGGATTTTCTTCAAACTTGGCTCAAATGTTCACCTCAGCAAGGGGATGTGCAGAACCCATGTTGCCCATGTGTCAGCTCAAGGTCAAGGTCACAATTGAAGGTCAAATATCAAACACAATCATATATTAGACAGTATGTCGTGTCCGCTCTGTAGGTCCTACAATAATTGAAAGATTTTCTTCAAACTTGGCTAAAATGTTCACCTCAACAAGGGGATGTGCAGAACTCATGTTGCCCATGTGTCATTTTAAGGTCAAGGTCACAATTGAAGGTCAAATATCAAACAATCAAATTTAACACAATATGTCGTGTCCGCTCTGTAAGTCCTACACTTATTGAAAGATTTTCTTCAAACTTGGCTCAAATGTTCATTTCAACGATGGGATGTGCAGAACCCATGTTGCCCATGTGTCAGCTCAAGGTCAAGGTCACAATTGAAGGTCAAATATCAAACAATCAAATATTACACAGTATGTTGTGTCCGCTCTGTAAGTCCTACACTTATTGAAAGATTTTCTTCAAACTTGGCTCAAATGTTCACCTCAACAAGGTTATGTGCAGAACCCATGTCACTCTTTTGCCGGCTTAAGGTCAAGGTCACACTTGAAGGTCAAAAATTGACTTAGAAAATGTTCTTTAATTTTAAACATATATCTGAATATTTCTGAATCTAGGAAAGGTATTTGCTTGAAACTTAAAATATAAACGAAGTGTCACAATTAAGATATGCTGGTCAAGTTTCATAACTCTGTATTGCATTTTAACAAAGTTATGCCCCTTTTTAATCTTCAAATATACATACAATCACATATTAGACAATATGTTGTGTCCGCTCTATAAATCCTATAGTAATGGAAGAATTTTCTTCAACCTTTTCTCAAATGTTCACTTAAACAAGTTATGTGCAGAATCCATGTCACCTTTGTGCAGGCTAAAGGTCAAGGTCAGACTTGAAGGTCAAAAATTGACTTAGAAAATGTTCTTAGATTAAAACATGTTCTTGAATATTTTCGGAAACTAGCATAGGTATTTGCTTGAAACTTAAAAGATATATGAGGGTCACAATTACGATATGCAGGTCAAGTTTCATAACTCTGTATTGGATTTTGACAAAGTTATGCCCCTTTTTAAGTCTTTAAATTTACATACAATCAATACTAGACAATATGTTGTGTCCGCTCTATAAATTCTATACTAATGGAAGGATTTTCTTCAAACTTTACTCAAATGTTCACTCCAATTGGGCGATGTGCAGAACCCATCTTACCCTAGTGCCAGCTGAAGGTCAAGGCCACACTTGAAGGTCAAAAATTGACTTATAAAAAGTTTAGTATATTGGGAAAATGAAAGGTTATTTGTAACTGTTTCAAACATGATTTGATAATAGATATTTTTACTATTACCTGTACAATTATGTCTTTTTTTCACCAGAGATAATTTCTTTTTATGTATTTGTGTCACTTAAGTTATTCCCTTAACCACCTTTCCAAGTTGTCTTCTGTCAAGGACATTGGTGGGGGTATGAATCGCATTCAGCGATAGTTCTAGTTATGTTTTAACATGATTCTGTATTTAATATATATTTATAATGTCAAAGATTTATAACACGCTGGGCTTTTTTTTTTGATTGCCAGAAGCTTGTTGATGTTATACCTGCTTTTGTCTTTTCAATAGGAATAGTATCAAATTTGTAATCCAGGGGTCACTGAGAGCATCGAATTTGTAATCCATTTAGGGCCGCGGGTTCAATCAACAAGCAAGATGTAGCTTTCCTTGACAATCGATCACTGACATTTAGTCTTATAGTCATTTGTCTCTCATCAATCATATGGGATTAGTATTTGGTCACTTGCGTAGAAATTGGTTATTACTGGTTAGTTGTCCACAAAAGCCAATAAGGTCGATTGACCGCTAAAGTATGACCGAAAACACGAGTTAAAATTGTTGTAAAAATCCAGAAAAACAAACATGAAGTCATTTAAGGCAGTGGCTTGGAATACTTCTGGTGCAAATCTTTGAAGTGCCCTTGATCACATGTTTTGCTATGTTTGGTTGCAGAAAATTGGGTCTTCAGTTACTATCAGGTATTTCAATCTAAATATTTCCCTGAACTTTTTGGACAACCTTTTTGCAGCAGGATAGTGAGTTTGTGTGAGAATAGGTGATTTGTGTTTAAGTAGTCATTTTTCTCAAACTTTTAATTATAAAAGCCAAAATCTTGTCCAGAAATCCATTTCCATCCTCTTCAGTACAAAAATATCATTATATCACTATTTTTTTTAAACTTTTCTGTACTTAAAGAATGTAGTTTGGATAAAAGTTGTATGTTTTTCCCTATTTGGGAAAAAGTAATTGTTTTTCCCACTCACCTGTCTGTCCCAATTAGTTTCTTGTTTGATGTATACCAAAATTAAGATATGATGTATACCAAATCATGGCTGTATATGATATACCAAATAAGATCCTTGTTAGATATGAGTTAAATTAGTTGCCATTTGGTATACCAAATTAGGCCCTTGTTAGATATGAGTTAAATTAGTTGCCATCTGGTATACCAAATAAGATCCTTGTTAGATATGAGTTAAATTAGTTGCCATTTGGTATACCAAATTAGGCCCTTGTATCATATACAAACTAAGATCTTTAAATGATATACCAAATTAGGTTTTTAGGTTTCTGAATGATATACCAAATTAGGTTTTTGAATGATATACCAACTAAGATCTTTAAATGATATACTAAATTAGGTTTTTGCATGATTTGAATGATATACCAAAATTTTTGTGTTAGATCTTTGTATAGTATGCCAAATCAGGACTCTGTCTGGTAAATTTGATTATGAATATAATTAGGACTTTGTATGGCATACCAAATTAGGTCTTTGTATGGTACACTGAATTAGGACTTTGTATGGTATACTAAATACAACTTTAATCAGGACTTTATATCGTATACTAAATTAGGACTTTGTATGGCATACCAAATTAGGACTTTGTATGGTATACTAAATACAACTTTAATTAGGACTTTAAATGGCATAACAAATTAGGTCTTAATAAGATATATTGAATACGGCAATTGTAAATATGAATAACTAACTTTTGTTTAAATTTGTTAATTAGTGTATTTTATGATATATCAAAATTTTGTTATTGTATGGTATACAAAGGATATAACTTAACTAAAAGTTATTATTTGTTTTGTTAAGCTCAATTCATTTTATTTTTTTTGAAATAAACCTATTTCTTGGGGAAAAAAGCTATCACGTAAAAAAGGAAATAGCTATTGTAGAATTTATATTATAGAATTTATATTTATATTGCAGTTTTATAAAAGATTTTATAATTATTATTATTATTATAATTATTTTACACTGTTTTTAAGAAGGATTTTTTATAGAAATAAATGTACATGTATAGTTTAAGTTATGATGTCAATGAACTTGTGAGTTAACTAATTTATATATTCAAATTAATTATCTAATGCCATATTCTTTTTAAGTTTCTTTTTTTTTTATAAAAGGTGATAATGTCGAGATTTAAACCATGAAAATCTGAGATGTAATTGTTTCATGAATGACATAATTATTGTTACCACTTTTATTTATATGTTGCCACATTTTACACTTTTTGGAAACTTTGATAGGAATCAAAAAAAAATGAAAGCTTTTGAAAAATAAAAACAGTTAATGGGGGGAATAATGGGCCTTTAAAGAAAAAAAAAACAGCATAACTTGTCAAATGTCATGCCATGTTAAAAACTTACCTTATTTTCACATATCATACTTCTACAAGATTTAGTTTTGTTTCATGCCATGTGAAAATTGATTAAGGCTCATGTATCAGTTTTAAAGATAACATTTCACATTTCATGCCATGTGAAAATTGATTGAGGCTCTTGTATAACATTTCACATTTCATGCCATGTGAAAATTTAGATTAAAATTTATGAAAGGTAACATTTTACTTTTTGTGCCATATGAGCATTGTTTAAAGAACCTGTAACTCATTTTTTATGGTTTTATATCATACGTATAATGCTCCAATAAAGATTATCAATATTGTAAGTTCCTAAGTTCTTATATAGCAAGATATTACTGAATTTACGTTTCATTTTAATATAGGGAGGTAATTAGAAATTTATTTTTAGTCTAAGTTTTCAATAGAAAATGAATGCATATATTTTAATGATTACATATAATGTGGACAAATATTTGCAGTACACATTTTACATATCCTTCGATGTTTGAAAATTGTTTTAGAAGCATAATTATATACATATATAAAATTTCACATAAGTGTGGTAACAACCTTAATTACAACATACAGGAATCTTTAAGGTTCATATATCAAATTTAAAAGATAAAGTTTCATATTTCTTGCCATGTGAAAATTGATTTAGGTTCATGTATCAGGTTTAAAGATACCGTATTGGATATCATGCCATATGAACATTGTATCAAGTTTAAAGATAACATTTCCCATTCTTGCTATCGGAAAATTGATTAAATTTCAGATATGATATCAGGTTTATGAAGAGTGGTTTAAATTTCATGCCATGTGAACTTTAATCTAGGTTCAAATATCAAATTCAAAGATAAAACTTGACATTTCATGTCATGTGTTAAAAAATGAAATATCACACCAGGTTTAAAGATAATTTTGGTAGGTTTCAAGTACCACATAATGTGTTTAATAGAAAATACCATGTGTTCATTGAAAAAAGACTGTTATACTCTTAACCGTTCTTATTTTAGATATGTGATAAACAGAATTTCATATTTGTGTAGATTTAATACTAAATTTATTGAACTTGTTAAATAAAACAATATTATGCTCCCTAGAGGCTCTCATATGATTTTATCCAACTCGTTCAATAAATTCAGTATTAAACCTACACTCATTCAATATCCTCTATTTTCATTATTATCAACAGTTAATTTGAAGCAAAATTTCTGCATTTATTATTTCATTCAACATTATTTCACCCATTTACTCTCTTACACTCAGGTGGGGAAAAAAAGTCATAAAAATTTCAGGTAATGAAAGGACTGTCTGCAATATATGTAGATTTATGTTAATTTATTAACATGTTGAGTGCTAGAGTTTTTATTTAGTTACCTTGACTAACAGTATAGAGCCTTTGCCAACAGTATAAAGTGTTTACCACAAGTAATATTATAGTGTTTAATACTGGTATTGAGTGTTTTACACTGGTATTGAGTGTTTTACACTGATATAAAGTCTTTTACACTATTGTAAAGTGTTTTACAATGGTATAGTTTACACCATTTGTTTAAACGCTGGTAAAGAGTTTTAAACACTAGTATAGAGCGTTTAAACACTGCTATATAGTTTTTAACACTATTGTAAAGTGCATGCATCAGTGCTTTATACTATGAATGAAAACAAACAGGGGTTGCCTCTAGAATGGGGCAGTTGGCTGTATCAATTCATAACCCTGTAAATTACAACTAATTCTGACAGTAAATAAACCTTAAGAAAAATATAATTTGTCAGTTTCTTTTGTCAGTATGTTCTGTTAATGTTACACAAATTTGCCGGGATTTGCAAATTTCTGTGTGACAATTGTTCTTTAAGTTTAATTGTCATGTCTCAGCCCTGACTAAGAAATCACGTTGGATTGGTAAAGAAGTTGTAATTAACTGGTTATGTGCCCAGCTAGCCTGGGCTAGTGAGTGGCCTGTCCTCCATGCTATGACCAAAAATGTGTTAAAATTGGTAAAAATCAAAACATACCAACCAAACAATAAAAGATACAGGTTCAGATTACTAGCTAGTCATGTCTGGTATTATTTGTGAACTACTGTCATTATTTTTCTACTGAATCTTTTAAAGGGACTCCACTGAGGTGAATCTTTTAAAGGGACTCCATAGAGGTGAATCTTTTAAAGGGAGTCCACCAAGGTGAATCTTTTAAAGGGACTCCACAGAGGTGAATCTTTTAAAGGGACTCCACAGAGGTGAATCTTTTAAAGGGACTCCACAGAGGTGAATCTTTTAAAGGGACTCCACTGAGGTGAATCTTTTAAAGGGACTCCATCAAGGTGAATCTTCTAAAGGGACTCCACTGAAGTTTTTATAACGTGAAGGCAATGGAAATATTTTTTTAAGCTTTGTATATCAATTTTATGTAGATCTGGACTCATAACTTTTGTGCAAACTTTCGGGTCATTCCCTTATTCCAAAATTTTAATGTAAATAAAATAATCATTTTAACTGTGCAAAATGACCCTAAAACATTAAGACACTTTTCCACTCAAATCAGACTTGGAGTTGCACAAACCGGTACACTTTTAATTTTATTCCGAGTATAATTTAGCACCTTTTTTAATGGTTTGAAGTATTTCCTTATATGAATTACAATTGTAAGAGTTATGAATCAAAAGACATGTGTTTTTTTCTTGATATTTTTTACTTTTATCATTTTAGTCATATCATTTTGTATGTATTATTGCCACTTTGCTCACTGTTATATTTTTGTTTGTAAATGTTAACCGTATATCATCTAATGAATGCCCAAGGGTCTTACATCTTCCTAAAGGGATTTAATTAAAGATATACTATGCTCATCATTGAGTAAAATATTTTAATCACAGATATTTATTGAAATCTTTGAAATTCTTACTGAGTATGTCTGATTTGAATAAAAGAATGAATAAAGTTTGTATGGGAAGCTGCGTTCCCTTTTACATGCCAAGTAAAGTTGGTATTTTCTTAAAAATCTGCCAGTTTTTTTTAATTACACTATATATTATATTGTGACCATCTATAGTGTAGAATTTTAAACATGATATATCAACTTTGTGTGGAGTCAAAACATATTTATTAAATATTTTTAAAGAGACTGTATCAATTATCAGTATTTTCTATTATCAAATTTGGCCATTGTATACATGTATCTTTAACAACAAAACAAAAAGAAATAATTACATTTTGTATCATAATAAATTATTAATAAAAAGAATGTTTAAGGACATTGCATTGTTTTTTTACTGGATTTCTATTGGAAGAACCAATTTACTGAGTTTTTCTTTTTCTATGTCAAGAAAAGGGGGTGTTTATTAAAAAATATGGTATATTTATAAGCCCCTATTGTATTGTATAACCCTAGTTACTAGTGTATATTTATTGTAATTGGAAAAATATTATTAATTAAATTCAAGATACATGTTATTAGTTTTGGCAAGTTGCCAATGATATTTTTTCCTTCAGCAGACAAATATTTGTTTGTTTTTTTTGTTGTTTTTTTTTTTTCGAATTTAAAAAATTTTGATACGCTCTTTGATTAAAAAATAAAATAAACACAAAAGTCGTGCCATGATGTCAAACAATTTGTTCTTGATTGATAAGGGGTGCAATGTACATGTATATTTCTCAGTAAATTTATTTTTTAATGGGTTTTAATATTCTGTAATGTTTAGTTTTTTAAGGGTAAAATACCCACATTTTCTACATATAAGGGTATATAAAAGTGTATAAAGCTATATATTTGCTGTCTGTGGATATGTGTAAGCATATTTTATCAAAGAAAGTGGGAATGTGTGAAACCATTGCCAAACTTAATCTAGAAATAGCAGCAGAATATTATGTTCGGGAACATTTCTTTTCTGTGTATCAAATTACATTGACATTCTTTGTCACAAATTTTTCAAGAATCAACCATAAGGTTATGGAAGAAACATAATTTTTAATCTGTAACATTATTGTATTTATATAACATATTTCATTAGATATAGCTGTGTGCACTAAGTCTTAAAGTAGTAAATAAAAATATAATTACTAAATAAATATATACCATGATAATTGTGAGGAAAATTAAAACATCAGTATTATAAATGATAAGACCACCCAAGTTTCAGCACCCTCTTTGTGGAGTCTGTGGCCAAGTGGTTAAGGTCATTGACTTAAAACCAATTGCCTCTCAACACTGTAGGTTCGAGCTGCACAAGGGTTGATAAATTCTACATATGAGTAAGCTATCCAGAACGTCGGTGGTTCTACACAGGTGCCCATTTGTGCCTGAAATGATGTACAGAGGAGTACCTAAGGTCTTCTCCACCAGTAAAATAAGCTGGGAAGTTGCTATATACTTATGATCTATACTGTGCTTGTGTGTGAAGTAAAAAATAACAACAACAAAAAAGCATCCTTTGGTTAATTTACACATGTAATTGCTAATTGTTTGTTTGTTTATTTGTTTGTTTGTTTGATATAAACATTGTTGTTACATGTTGTTTTTAATATGTAAATTTATAATTTTTTCCCCTGAAGTTTTAATTTACCAAAGATAATAACATTTTATCTTATGTTTATGAAATAAAAACAATCTTAAATATGATTTGTTATTATTCTTTGTATTTATCATGATTGAAAATTTTCAATGATTTGAAATCAAAGACCTCTAAAAGCTTTAGAATTGCATCCCACAAAGATCTTAAGCTCTGAACTCAGGTGAGCAAAACTAAATTGTGTGCACAGGTGTGCTGCTCACCTGTGCACACAATTTAGTTTCGATCACCTTAATGTGCACACAGTTCAGTTTTAGCTCACCTGTGCACATAATTTAGTTTAAGCTTACATGTGCACATAGTTTAGTTTAGCTCACATGTGCTCAGCTCACCTGTGCACACATATTAGTTTCATCTCACCTGTGCACATAGTTATGTATTAGCAGAATTTAGAAGAAGGAAGTCTAACAAGGCAGCAGTGAAAATACAGAAAATATGTTTCACTGCAGTAAAAAAAAAAAATTTTTACAGTGAAAATAGGAACAATGAAGGGGCGTCCGTGGCCTAGTAGTTAAGACCGTTGACTTTAAACCACTTGCCCCTGGCCACTGTGTGTTTGAACACTGGACTTTTGATTTTTTTCATGTGAGAAAGCTTTTCAGCTAGGTTACTAAACATCGATGGTTCACTCAATCACCAATTCGTGCCTGAAATAATATGCGGAAGCTACATCTGAGGTTTTTCTCCACCAGTTAAACTATACTGTGTTGAAGCGACAAAAAACAAACAAACAAATAAACAACACGGACTATGAAAATATGCATTTTATTAAATCAATATTCTAAATATTTTATTATGCTCCCTGAAAAAATTTCGGGGGAGCATATAGTCGCCGCCTTGTTCGTCCGTCCGTCCGGCTTTCCGTCCGTCCGTCCCCTTTTCTTGTCCGGTACATAACTTTGAAATTACATTAACATTCTTTGTTACAGGTCTTTCAAGAATCAACCATAAGGTTATGGAAGAAACATAATTTTAATCTGTAAAGTTATTGTTTTTATATAACATATTTCATCAGAAATAGCTGTGTGCACTTTAAGTAGTAATTTAAAATATAATTACTAAATATATATGTCATGATAATTGTGAGGAATATCAAAAGTACAAACATCAGTATTATAAATAATAAGACCACCCAAGTTAGAGCACCCTCTTTGTGGAGTCTGTGGCCGAATGCTTTAGGCCATTGACTTCAAACCACTTGCCTCTCACCACTGTAGGTTCGAGCTGCACAAATGTTGATAAATTCTACATGTGAGTTAGCTACCCAGCTAGTTCATGGAATGTTGGTGGTTCTACACAGGTGCCCATTTGTGCCTGAAATGATGTACAGAAGAGCACCTAAGGTCTTCCTCTCCACCAGTAAAATAAGCTGGGAAGTTGCCATATACTTATGATCTATACTGTGCTTGTGTGTGAAGTAAAAAAAAAAAACAACAACAAAAAAGCATCCTTTGGTTAATTTATACATGTAATTGCTAATTGTTTGTTTGTTTGTTTGTTTGTTTGATATAAACATTGTTGTTACATGTTGTTTTTAATATGTAAATTTATAATTTTTTCCCCTGAAGTTTTAATTTACCAAAGATAATAACATTTTATCTTATGTTTATGAAATAAAAACAATCTTAAATATGATTTGTTATTATTCTTTGTATTTAGTTTACAATCATGATTGAAAATTTTCAATGATTTGAAATCAAAGACCTCTAAAAGCCCACAAAGATCTTAAGCTCTGAATTCAGGTCAGCAAAATTACATTGTGTGCACAGGTGTGCTGCTCACAGCACACCTGTGCACACAATTTAGTTTCGATCACCTTAATGTGCACACAGTTCAGTTTTAGCTCACCTGTGCACATAATTTAGTTTAAGCTTACATGTGCACATAGTTTAGTTTAGCTCACATGTGCTCAGCTCGCCTGTGCACATATATTAGTTTCATCTCACCTGTGCACATAGTTATGTATTAGCAGAATTTAGAAGAAGGAAGTGTAACAAGGCAGCAGTGAAAATACAGAAAATATGTTTCACTGCAGTAAAAAAAGATATTATTTTTACAGTGACAATAGGAAAAATGAAGGGGCGTCCGTGGCCTAGTGAGAAAGCTTTTCAGCTAGGTTACTAAACGTCGATGGTTCTACTCAATCACCAATTCGTGCCTGAAATCATGTACGGAAGCGGCATCTGATGTTTTTCTCCACCAATTAAACTATACTGTGTTGAAGCGACAAAAAAAACAACAAATAAACAACACGGAAAATGAAAATATGCGTTTTATTAAATCAATATTGTGTGTGTGCGTGCGTGTATGCGTGTGTTTTGTGTGTGTGTGCGTGCATGTGTGTGTTGTGTGTGTGTGCGTGCATGCGTGCATCTGTGTCTGGTGGTTTTAATAATTGATTTGAAACATGTTAGATGCTTTTTACATGAACAAAGAGGCTTTGAGTGCCAAAAAAAAAAATCATAAAAGTAGCAAAATGTAAACAATGTAGAATTTTGTCTTAAAAGAAAAACTAAATATTAATAACTTTTATAATGGCAAAACAGAAAAATAGAATCAATAGCTGACCCTGCTTTATACCAGTGAATGGAAATTTGATACATGTCAATAGATAAAAGTGTCGGATAAACAAAAATTATAGCATTTTGGTGGTCGAATTTAAGAAAACATGGGAAAACACGCACAACATTCCAATTTTTTTGCACAGGAACGCATTGCCTTACAAATATTTACGCATTGCCTTACACAATATTTACGCATTGCCTTACAAAATATTTACAATACAATAGAACGCATTGCCTTACAAAATATTTACAAAAGAATATAACGTATTGCCTTACAAAATATTTACAAAAGAATATAACGCATTGCCTTAGAAAATATTTACAATACAACGCACTGCCTTACAAAATATATACAATACAACGCACTGCCTTACAAAATATATACAATACAACGCATTGCCTTACAAAATATTTACAATACAACGCACTGCCTTACAAAATAGTTACAATACAACGCACTGCCTTACAAAATATTTACAATATAAAAGAACGTATTGCCTTACAAAATATTTACAATACAACGCACTGCCTTACAAAATATTTACAATATAAAAGAACGTATTGCCTTACAAAATATTTACAATACAACGCACTGCCTTAAGATATTTGCAATCTGAATGCATTGCCTTACAAAATATTTGCAATGACTGCACTACCTAACAAAATATTCACAACAAAACGCACTTCGTGACAAAATATTCAACAACTATTTTAGGTATATTTAGCCACTCATTTTAATATCAGAAATTTACAAACACATCCTTTAACTTATTTAGTCTACTTCTTCTTTCGTATGATTATAATCAAAATGTAACCATCAAACATATCACCAGTTTTGGACAGTCAAATACAAATGTTCAACCTTTAATAGTAAGTTTTCTCAACAAATTCAATACAGTGACATATTTATCAAACATCTACTTTTTGTACACAGAATAAAGACCAAATTAAGGCATTTCCCAATTGACAAAACTGTTCAAGATACCCAAAATTGTGAGGGTCCCCCTAACTAACAAAACATTTTCTGAATTTATGTT